TTATGATTTTGAGATACGTTCCATCAATACCGAATTTATTGAGAGTTTTTAGCATGAAGGGCTGTTGAATTTTGTCAAAGGCCTTTTCTGCATCTATTGAGATAATCATGTGGTTCTTGTCTTTGGTTCTGTTTATATGCTGGATTACGTTTATTGATTTGCGTATGTTGAACCAGCCTTGCATCCCAGGGATGAAGCCTACTTGATCATGGTGGATAAGCTTTTTGATGTGCTGCTGGATCCGGTTTGCCAGTATTTTATTGAGGATTTTTGCGTCGATGTTCATCAGGGATATTGGTCTAAAATTCTCTTTTTTTGTTGTGTCTCTGCCAGGCTTTGGTATCAGGATGATGTTGGCCTCATGAAATGAGTTAGGGAGGATTCCCTCTTTTTCTATTGATTGGAATAGTTTCAGAAGGAATGGTACCAGCTCCTCCTTGTACCTCTGGTAGAATTCAGCTGTGAATCCATCTGGTCCTGGACTTTTTTTCATTGGTAGGCTATTAATTATTGCCTCAATTTCAGAGCCTGCTATTGGTCTATTCAGGGATTCAGCTTCTTCCTGGTTTAGTCTTGGGAGAGTGTAAGTGTCCAGGAAATTATCCATTTCTTCTAGATTTTCTAGTTTATTTGCGTAGAGGTGTTTATAGTATTCTCTGATGGTAGTTTGTATTTCTGTGGGGTCGGTGGTGATATCCCCTTTATCATTTTTTATTGCGTCTATTTGATTCTTCTCTCTTTTCTTCTTTATTAGTCTTGCTAGCGGTCTATCAATTTTGTTGATCTTTTCAAAAAACCAACTCCTGGATTCATTGATTTTTTGGAGAGTTTTTTGAGTCTCTATCTCCTTCATTTCTGCTCTGATCTTAGTTATTTCTTGCCTTCTGCTAGCTTTTGAATGTGTTTGCTCTTGCTTCTCTAGTTCTTTTAATTGTGATGTTAGAGTGTCAATTTTAGATCTTTCCAGCTTTCTCTTGTGGGCATTTAGTGCTATAAATTTCCCTCTACACACTGCTTTAATTGTGTCCCAGAGATTCTGGTATGTTGTATCTTTGTTCTCATTGGTGTCAAAGAACATCTTTATTTCTGCCTTCATTTCGTTATGTACCCAGTAGTCATTCAGGAGCAGGTTATTCAGTTTCCATGTAGTTGAGCAGTTTTGATTGAGTTTCTTAGTCCTGAGTTCTAGTTTGATTGCACTGTGGTCTGAGAGACAGTTTGTTATAATTTCTGTTCTTGTACATTTGCTGAGAAGTGCTTTACTTCCAATTATGTGGTCAATTTTGGAATAAGTGCGATGTGGTGCTGAGAAGAATGTATATTCTGTTGATTTGGGATGGAGAGTTCTATAGATGTCTATTAGGTCTGCTTGCTGCAGAGATGAGTTCAATTCCTGGATATCCTTGTTAACTTTCTGTCTCATAGATCTGTCTAATGTTGACAGTGGGGTGTTGAAGTCTCCCATTATTATTGTATGGGAGTCTAAGTCTCTTTGTAAGTCTCTAAGGACTTGCTTTATGAATCTGGGTGCTCCTGTATTGGGTGCATATATATTTAGGATAGTTAGCTCTTCCTGTTGAATTGATCCCTTTACCATTATGTAATGGCCTTCTTTTTTTTTTTTTTTTTGAGGCGGAGTCTCGCTCTGTCGCCCAGGCTGGAGTGCAGTGGCGCGATCTCGGCTCACTGCAAGCTCCGCCTCCCGGGTTCCCGCCATTCTCCTGCCTCAGCCTCCCGAGTAGCTGGGACTACAGGCGCCGCCACCACGCCCGGCTAATTTTTTTGTATTTTTAGTGGAGACGGGGTTTCATTGTGTTAGCCAGGATGGTCTCGATCTCCTGACCTCGTGATCCGCCCGTCTCGGCCTCCCAAAGTGCTGGGATTACAGGCTTGAGCCACCGCGCCCGGCCTGTAATGGCCTTCTATGTCTCTTTTGATCTTTGATGGTTTAAAGTCTGTTTTATCAGAGACTAGTATTGCAACCCCTGCTTTTTTTTGTTTTCCATTGGCTTGGTAGATCTTCCTCCATCCCTTTATTTTGAGCCTATGTGTGTCTCTGCATGTGAGATGGGTCTCCTGAATACAGCAGACTGATGGGTCTTGACTCTTTATCCAGTTTGCCAGTCTGTGTCTTTTAATTGGAGCATTTAGTCCATTTACATTTAAGGTTAATATTGTTATGTGTGAACTTGATCCTGCCATTATGATATTAACTGGTTATTTTGCTTGTTAGTTGATGCAGTTTCTTCCTAGCCTCGATGGTTTTTACATTTTGGCATGTTTTTGCAATGGCTGGTACCGGTTGTTCCTTTCCATGTTTAGTGCTTCCTTCAGGGCCTCTTGTAAGGCAGGCCTGGTGGTGACAAAATCTCTAAGCATTTGCTTGTCTGTAAAGGATTTTATTTCTCCTTCACTTATGAAACTTAGTTTGGCTGGATATGAAATTCTGGGTTTAAAATTCTTTTCTTTAAGAATGCTGAATATTGGCCCCCACTCTCTTCTGGCTTGTAGAGTTTCTGCCGAGAGATCTGCTGTTAGTCTGATGGGCTTCCCTTTGTGGGTAACCCGACCTTTCTCTCTGGCTGCCCTTAAGATTTTTTCCTTCATTTCAACTTTGGTGAATCTGGCAATTATGTATCTTGGAGTTGCTCTTCTCGAGGAGTATCTTTGTGGCGTTCTCTGTATTTCCTGAATTTGAATGTTGGGCAGCCCTACTAGGTTGGGGAAGTTCTCCTGGATGATATCCTGAAGAGTGTTTTCCAACTTGGTTCCATTTTCCCCCTCACTTTCAGGCACCCCAAACAGACGTAGATTTGGTCTTTTTACATAATCCCATACTTCTTGGAGGCTTTGTTCATTTCTTTTTCTTCTTTTTTCTTTAGATTTCTCTTCTCGCTTCATTTCATTCATTTGATCCTCAATCGCTGATACTCTTTCTTCCAGTTGATCGAGTCGGTTACTGAAGCTTGTGCATTTGTCATGTATTTCTCATGTCATGGTTTTCATCTCTGCCCATTCGTTTATGGCCTTCTCTGCATTAATTATTCTGGTTATCAATTCTTCCACTCTTTTTTCAAGATTTTTAGTTTCTTTGCGCTGGGTTCGTAATTCCTCCTTTAGCTCTGAGAAGTTTGATGGACTGAAGCCTTCTTTTCTCATCTCGTCAAAGTCATTCTCCGTCCAGCTTTGATCCGTTGCTGGCGATGAGCTGCGTTCCTTTGGAGGGGGCGATGCACTCTTATTTTTTGAATTTCCAGCTTTTCTGCCCTGCTTTTTCCCCATCTTTGTGGTTTTGTCTGCCTCTGGTCTTTGATGATGGTGATGTACTGATGGGGTTTTGGTGTGGCTGTCCTTCCTCTTTGTTAGTTTTCCTTCTAACAGTCAGGACCCTCAGCTGTAGGTCTGTTGGAGATTGCTTGAGGTCCACTCCAGACCCTGTTTGCCTGGGTGTCAGCAGCAGAGGCTGCAGAAGATAGAATACTGGTGAACAACGAGTGTACCTGTCTGATTCTTGCTTTGGAAGCTTCCTCTCAGGGGTGTACTCCACCGTGTGAAGTGTGGGGTGTCCAGACCAGGAATATTTTTAAAAGTAGATTGTAGAATCCTGAGAGTTCTTTTAAAAATTAAAAAAAAAAAATACAACTTCACTGTAGAAACTTGGACAATAGGGAAAAATGAATACAAGAAAAAAGGGCAATTGTCCTATCACCTAAAGATAATCATTGCTTAACCGGGCACAGTGGCTCACACCTGTAATCCCAGCACTGTGGGAGGCCAAGGCGGGTGCATCACTTGAGGTCAGGAGTTCATGACCAGCCTGACCAACATGGTGAAACCCCATCTCTACTAAAAGTACAAAAATTGGCTGGGCATGGTGGTGTGTACCTGTAATCCCAGCTACTTGGGAGGCTGAGGCAGAGAATTGCTTGAACCCGGGAGGCAGAGGTTGCAGTGAGCCGAGATTGCACCACTATACTCCAGCCTGGATGACAGAGTAAGACTCCTTCAAAAAATAAAATAAAAAGAAGATAATCATTGCTCATGTCTTGGTTTGTTTCCTTCTAGTTTCTGAGTTTGTTCTTTAATGGTTTAGTCGTGGTATAATTTTGTTTTTTGCCCTTCTCAATTAACATTACAACACTCATTCCTCTATGTATTAAAATTAAGTATACATTTTAATGTTGACAATATTTTGTCAGTTGATAATACAACTTAGTTAACTATTGTATTATTGAGTAGGTAGGTTATGTTTACTTAGGAGAAATTTTTTCCCTTTAAAATTATTTTTTCTTTCTTGGCTATGAAAGTAGTGTGTATTAGTATAGCCAATAGAAAATGAGAGAAAAGTAGAATTAAAAAACACCAGCAGTTTCACTAATAACAGTAGCTATGTTGGTGAATATCTTCTGGTCATTTTTCTATAAATAATTCTTTTGCAAATTTATATTTACAGAGACATGCAAAAGAGTATTACACAAGTTTTAAAAAATTTATTTATTTATTTATTTAGAAATAGAGTCTTGCTCTGTCACCCAGGCTGGAGTGCAGTGGCACCATCTCAGCACACTGCAACTTCTGCCTTCTGAGTTCAAGCAATTTTCCTGCCTTAGTCTCCAAGTAGCTTGAATTTCAGGCTACTGAACGGCGTGTGCCGTCATACCCAACTGATTTTTGTATTTTTAGTAGAGACGGGGTTTCACCATGTTGGTCAGGCTGCTCTTGAACTCCTGACTTCAAGTCATCCGCCCACTTCTGTCTCCCAAAGTGCCGGGATTGTTAGAGGTGTGAGTCACCGTGCATGGCCAAAAAAGTTTATTTTTAAGGTAGTGTTTTTCTGTGACTAGCCCTCATAATCATGATTTCTAATATCTGTATCGAATTCCACCAAATAAATGTCACCATTTTCTTATCCACTTACCAATTGTATATTTAGGTTTTTCTCAGTGGTTGTAAGAGTTTTAGGTATTTCTTTTTAGAGTGAATGCTCTGTGTTTTTATAGGTCCGTCTCACCCATGAAATTAAACACAAGAATATTGTAACTTTTCATGAATGGTATGAAACCAGCAATCACCTCTGGCTAGTGGTGGAACTCTGCACAGGTAAGAAAGAGTATGTAAAAAGTGCTATGAATATAGTATTGAAAAAAAACATGCTGTAAGTTTTGTTACTTTTGATGTTATTTACTATGTTAACTTGAAAATCTATTGCTCTGTGGATATTAGGGAAGGGTGAAGAGCAAAGATGTTTGGGAAAAAGAATTATGTAAATTCAATTCTGGGTTGGGTTTACTTTGGTGTATTATTACATTACATACATAAAAATTTAGAAATGTTTTAAAGTGGTGATTAATTTATCAAAAATATTTTCCCAAGGAATAAAAACGAACATTTTAAGTTGACTAGCTATTAATTAGCTAATACATTTATAAAGTATCTTTTTGTTTTTGTGAAAAGCATACTGTACCTCCTAAAATTTTAAGCAATGTGAAAAAGTACAAAGATGAACCAACAAATAATTAGAGATAACAAATTATAGCCATTCCTTCATACAGCTTTCTAGGACTATATACAGGGAGAAAGGTGACTAAATACGTATTATCTGGGCTTTTAGTTTCAAAATTTTAAGAGTTTAACAGGGAAAAAATGTAATAACCACTACTAAGTACTACTATTAACTACTATGAAGTACTACTGTTAGTGTACTTCTGTTTATACATTGAGTAACAATAAAGGATAATTGAATATTGATATAATTATTACTAGCTTTGTGAATCTAACTTATCATATTGACACAGAATTTACAAAACTTAAGTAATTTGGATTAATAACTTACTTGATTTTATTTTTCTGAATCAATAGGACAGAATTATGGTTGAATTACTTCCATAGATGTACACATTGACAAAGTTATCAAGAGATAGTCCTAGAATTAGTTTTTTGCTTCAGCTGACCAGATGTAGTATCCTAACTGTAAAACATGCCTACGTCTGTAACGGCCCCTCACCCACCAAAACAAAATAAAACCCCAAATACCTCTTCCCTTCATCATAGTAATTCATACTCAACTTTCCAATGCCAGCAGAGACTTTACGTTTTCTGAATTTGGCTGTTGTATTAATATTCCATTTGTGTAGGTATATAGTAGGTATGTATATTAATATTTATGGGAAACATGACATAGTTGGTACAGGCATGCAGTGTGTAATAAGCACATCAGGGTAAATGGGGTGTCCATTTCCTCAAGCATTTATCCTTTGTGTTACAATCCAATTATATTCTTTTAGTTATTTTAAAATGTACAGTTCAATTATTATTGACTTTAGCTACCTGTTGTATTATCAAGTACGAGTTCTTATTCATTCTTACTATTTATTTTCACCCATTAACCATCCCCACTCCCCGCCACCTCCCCACTACTCTTCCCAACCTTTGGTAGCCATTCTTCTGTTCTCTATCTCCATGATTTCAATTGTTTTAATTTTCAGCTCCCACAAATGAGTGAGGACATGCAATGTTTGCCTTTCTGTGTCTGGCTTATTTTACTTAACATAATGACCTCCAGTTCCAACCATGTTGTTGCAGATGACAAAATCTCTCTTTTATGGCTGAATAGTACTCCCTTGTATATATGTACCATATTTTCTTTATCCATTCATCTGTTGATGGATTGGCTGTTGTAATCTTGACCCTTAAAAAAAAAATTTGTTTCTGGCACTTAGATGGTAGAGGAGTAACTGGGACCTTGGAAGAATATAGCAATGGGATTCTCAATGTGCCTGACTTTGGCCTTTTATTTCATTAATGGCACATGCTAAGGGTTGTGATTATCTGTTAAGGAAAGGCATAGTCTTTTTTGCCATGCAGTACTTTGCAGAATGTGACTTGACAGCACAACAGTAAACGAGAGTATAATATGATTTAAGTGCACAGTTTTGGGGTATTTACCATTAGTATTTGCAGCTGTTAGGGTTATTATCCTTTCATCTTACCTGCTTGCCTCTCACCATTCATCCAGAGGGAGCAGGCACTTTCCTGAATCTGTCTCTGGTGCTTGGGCATAGACTTCTGTTGCAGCGCTTGGGCCACTGTATTCACTCACATGTGTGTTCCTCGACCAGACTGTCAGGGTTTACTGTCTTGATCATTTTTCAATGTTCGTATCTGTCAGCATAGAATGTCTCGGGTACTCTGTGATGGTAGGGGGTCAAAATGGGTGATTTTAATCAACTTCTTGCAGGTGGTTCCTTAAAAACAGTTATTGCTCAAGATGAAAACCTCCCAGAAGATGTTGTGAGAGAATTTGGGATTGACCTGGTTACTGGATTACATCATCTTCATAAACTTGGCATTCTCTTTTGTGACATTTCTCCTGGGAAGGTAATTCATGAAAGTTTTTTATTTTCTAACTGCTTCTGTCTCAATTTAGAGTGCTTTCGCAAAGATGTTTTTATTTTTAGATAACATTTTGGTATAGAACATCTTGTAATTTTAGTTAATCTTTTTTTAAAATAAAAGGACGCAGGGCAGAGGTGGCTCATGCCTGTAATCCCAACACTTTGGGAGGCCGAGGTGGGCAGATCACTTGAGGTCAGAAGTTCGAGACCAGCCTGGCCAACATAGCGAAACCTCATCTCTTCTAAAAACACAAAAGGCTGGGCGCGGTGTCTCTTGCCTGTAATCCCAGCACATTGGGAGGCTGAGGTGGGTGGATCACGAGGTCAAGAGATCGAGACTATCCTGGCCAAGATGGTGAAACCCCATCTCAACTAAAAAAAAAAAACAAAAAACAAAACAAAAAAAAATTAGCTGGGCGTGATGGCACACTCCTGTAGTCCCAACTATTTGAGAGGCTGAGGCAGGAGAATTGCTTGAACCCGGGAGGCGCAGGTTGCAGTGAGCTGAGGTCACACCACTGCATTCCAGCCTGGGATTCCAGCGAGATTCCATTTCAGAAAAAAAAAAAAAAAAAAGAAATAATGAGAGGAAATATATGGTACTGTATTTTAGCTACCTGTATAAGTTGCTTTTTGAATGTGAAGTCTCCTTTTCAGAGCTCTTTGAGTAATCACTTAATTCTACTAACCTACATTGTAAATGTTGAACCCAATATGTCTGTAAGATAAGGCCCTCTTAGCTCTTAAGTCATCGTACACATTTATGAACCATTGTTTTAGTTGATAGTGGCATTCTTGGCTATATATGTATGATTCCTGATATTATGGATCAAATATTTTCTTTTTGGTAAAATTAATTATCCACAACTAAATGTCCAGTATAGTAGAGTCATGAAACCTACTTGGTTTCTGAGTTGCAATCAACACTAACACTTAGAAGCTGTGTGAACCCGGACACGTTACCCTGCTTCTCTTTGCCTCAGTTTCTTTGTCACATGGAGATAGATTTTTCAAGATATTTGTGAGGATTACCTATTATATTTAGGTTAAGTTTCTAGGATACTTTTTGGTAAGTAGTGTACTCACGGTGACGTCAATTATTGTCTTTATAAGTACATACCCTGAGGAATTGTACATATTACTGGTCTGAGTTTTTACTTTTTCTTTAATATATGCCAAGGAAATAAAAAGCTGACTATTTCATTTAAGAATTTTATTTTTACAGGCCATCTGTATGAGAAGATAATTAAACCTAAAAAAGAAAACTCCATAAAGTCCTGTATAATGAATAGTAGTTCTTGTTTGAAATATTCACATATGTGCCTCAAGTCTGCAGCTACTCAACTGTCATTGTAGTGCTGAAAGCAGCTGTAGATTAATTTGTAAACACCTGGCTGTGGCTGCATTTCAATAACTTCATTTGTGGATATGAAAATTTGAATTTCATGTAATTCATTGTTACATGTCTAGAAATATTATTTTGATTTTTTCCCTAACCATTTAGAAATATAAAAACCACATTTAAAAAATTATTTTATTTTTATTTTTTTGAGACACAGTTTCACTCTGTTGTCCAGGCTGGAGTGCAGTGGTGTGATCTCAACTCACTGCAAACTCTGCATCCTGGGTTCAAGTGATTCTCCTGCCTCGGTCTCCCGAGTAGCTGGGACGGCAGGCGTGTGGCAAATTTTTGTATTTTTAGTAGAGACAGGGTTTCACTGTGTTGGCCAGGCTGGTCTCAAACTCCTGACCTCAGGTGATCCTATTGCCTTGGCTTCCCAAAGTGCTGGGATTACAGGTGTGAGCTACCATGCCTGGCCAAATCCCCACCCCCCCTTTTTTTTTACTTATTTTTTTTGGTGTGGCAGTTTTGAGATGGTTTTTTTTTTTTTAAATCTGACACTCTTGGTTCATAGCTGTACAAGGCAGTGGCCAGGGTTTGTCCCAGAGACTGTAGTTTGCTGATATCTATACGGGAGTTGTTTAATGAGATTTATTATCAGCTGTTATGATCTGAAAAACTCAGGCTGCTTTGTAACCCAAACCTGTGTTCTAGAACAGGGGTTAGCAAAGGTTAGGCAGGATTCCTATTTTTGTAAGTACACTTTCACTGGAACACAGCCACGACCTTTGGTTTATGTAATGTCAGTGGCTACCGTTGTGCAACAACAGAATTGAAGTATGAGATTCCATTGAAATGAAATGACATTGAAGTATAAAAGACTGTATGGCTCATAAAGTCTAAAATATTTATTAGCTGGCTCTTTACCGACCACAAAAAAATTTGCTGATCCCTGCTAGTGGTCCTCTGGACCAGCAGCATTAGGTTGACCTGGCACTTGGTAGAAATGGGCCCCATCCCAGACCTGTTGAAGCAGAAACTCTGGGGGTAGTGACTGGTAGTCTGTGCTTTGACAAGTCTTCCAGGGGATTCTGATGCTCACATAAGTTTACAAGCCACTATTGTAGACCAGCAGACATCCTTAGTATGTATTTGTGACTAGAAGTTAAGAGTTAACTTCACATTGCCTTTATTTTAATTTTATATTTTTGAGACAGGGTCTCGCTGTCATGCAGAATGGAGTGCAGTGGCACAACCTTGGCTCACTGCAACCTCCACTTCCCAGGTTGAAGTGATTCTCATGCCTCAGCCTCCTGAGTAGCTGGGATTATAGGCGCTCGCCACCATGCGCAGCTAATTTTTGTATTTTGAGTAGAGATGGGGGTTTCACCATGTTGGCCAGGCTGGTCTCAAACTCATGGCCCCAAGTGATCTGCCCGCCTCAGCCTTCCAAAGTGCTGGGATTACAGGTGTGAGCCACCGCACTTGACCCTACATAGCCTTGAAAAACCACAAAGCCACCTGACCCATTGTACCTATCTAGAAATACTTTTAATAGAGGAAATGGTAAAAGTAACAGAACAGTAGTTCCTGGCATGTTTTCAGCAATCCATAGATTCTAATCACAAATTATATTAGCAGACTTGATTGAGCATTTGTCACATGCCAGCGACTGTTACAAACCCTTTACTTGTATAACTTCGATTAATCCTTACAACAGTCTGAAGAGTTTGGTATTATTTTTCCCATTTTATAGGTGAAGAGATTGGGGATTAGAAAGGTTAAATATGTTCTTCAAGGTCAGACAGCAAGTAAATGGTGGACCTGGGTGTAAAATCCAGATCTTCAACTTTAATCTTAACTCTACATTATGCTTCCTCACTTGAATAAACAACACCTCAGGCAGCTGGGTTTTCAAATCCTGTTAGAGCTGACACTGAGGCTTGGCAAGTGCAGATTGTTTTATTTTCATCATTGTTTATCTTTCCCCAAACCTGAAGTTTTCCACTTTGGTTATATGATGAGTTCATTATATAGATCTGAGAATGAACAATTTAATTTTGTATTTGATTATTAAAAAGTTGGATTTATTTTTCTTTAGCTTTTTAAAAAAATTATAAGCATTTATTTTTCTGAGTTCTGATGGAGAAAGAATAGCAATGCTCAAAAGTTCTTTAGTGCAATTATAAGAGGTACTGATATATGTACAAATTAAGTTGATTTTTCTTCTGAAAACATTTATTTGATCTTCACAGATACTCTTGGAAGGGCCTGGCACACTGAAGTTTAGCAACTTTTGCTTGGCAAAAGTGGAAGGTGAAAATTTGGAAGAGTTCTTTGCTTTGGTGGCAGCAGAGGAAGGAGGAGGTGATAGCGGGGAAAATGTCCTGAAGAAAAGCATGAAAAGTAGAGTCAAAGGTATGTGGACCTGGAATACTTAAAGATCGTAACTCTAGTTGTGGACCATGCAAGTCTTGTATTTAGGAGACAATGTCAGTCTTTTGTTTTGCCACTCACATGACATATTGAAAATGGTAATGACCAGCAGACATAGTCTGGACATAGGAATGGCTTTATCCATGGCCTAAAGTATTCAATGTGGATCTACTCTGTAAGGCCTGGGGAACCTTAACAAAGCCTGCATTTTGTCCTCAGCTTTATGTTTTACTAAGCACTCATTAGCACATAGGAGGGGAATGGTGCCTGGAACATTAGTGGTTCAATAGAAATTAGTTGAGTGAATGATATTCTGTAGTTGAAACATATTTCTTTCTTTTTTTTTTTTAAATTTAAGTTCTGGGATACATGTGCAGAATGTGCAGGTTTGTTACATAAGTATACACACGCCATGGTGGTTTGCTGCACCCATCAAGCCGTCATCTACATTAGGTATTTCTCCTAATACTATCCCTCCTTTAGCCCCCCCCACCCCCTGACAGGCCCCGGTGTGTGATGTTCCCCTCCCTGTGTCCATGTGTTCTCATTGTTCAACTCCCACTTACGAATGAGAGTGTTTGGTTTTCTGTTCTTGTGTTAGTTTGCTGAGAATGATGGTTTCCAGCTTCATCCATGTCCCTGCAAAGGACATGAACTCATCCTTTTTTATGCCTGCATAGTATTCCATCGTGTATATGTGCCACATTTTCTTTATCCAGTCTATCATTGATGGGCATTTGGGTTGGTTCCACGTCTTTGCTATTGTGAATAGTGCTGCAATAAACATACGTGTGCATGTGTCTTTATAGTAGAATGATTTATATTCCTTTGGGTGTATACCCAGTAATGGGATTGCTGGGTCACATGGTATTTCTGGTTCTAGATCCCTGAGGAATTGTCCTCCACAATGGTTGAATCAATCTACATTCCCACCAACAGTCCAAAACCGTTCTATTCCTCTACAGCCTTGCCAGCATTTTTGTTTCTTGACTTTTTAATAATTGCCATTCTGACTGGTGTGAGATGGTATCTCATTGTGGTTTTGATTTGCATTTCTCTAATGATCAGTGATGTTGAGTTTTTTTTTCATATGTTTGTTGGCTGCATAAATGTCTTCTTTAGAGAAGTGTCTGTTCATATCCTTTGCCCACTTTTTGATGGGGTTATTTGCTTTTTTGTAAATTTAAGTTTTTTGTAGATTCTGGATATTAGATCTTTGTCAGATGGGTAGATTGCAGACATTTTCTACCATTCTGTAGGTTGCCTGTTCATTCTGATGCTAGTTTATTTTGCTGTGCAGAAGCTCTTTCGTTTAATTAGATCCCATTTGTCAATTTTGACTTTTGCTGCCATTACTTTTGGTGTTTTTGTCATGAAGTCTTTGCCCATGCCTGTATCCTGAATGGTATTGCCTAGGTTTTCTTCTAGAGTTTTTATGGTTTTAGGTCTTACATTTAAGTCTTTAATCCATCTTGAGTTAATTTTTGTATAAGGTAAAAGGAAGGGGTCCAGTTTCATTTTTCTGCATATGGCTAGCCAGTTTTCCCAACACTATTTATTAAATAGGGAATCCTTTCCCCGTTGATTGTTTTTGTCAGGTTTGTCAAAGATCAGACGGTTGTAGATATCTATTTTGAGGTCTCTGTTCTGTTCCATTGATCTGTTTTTGTATCAGTACCATGCTGTTTTGGTTACTGTGGCCTTGTAGTATAGTTTGAGGTTAGGTAGTGTGATGTCTCCAGTTTTGTTCTTTTTGCTTAGGATTTTCTTGGCTATGTGGACTCTTTTTTGTTTCCATATGAAATTTAAAGTAGTTTTTTCCAATTCTGTGAAGAAAGTCAATGGTAGCTTGGTGGGGATAGCTCTGAATCTATAAATTACTTTGGACAATATGGCCATTTTCATGATATTGATTCTTCCTATCCATGAGGATGGAATGTTTTTCCAGTTGTTTGTGTCCTCTCTTATTTCCTTGAGCAGAGATTTGTAGTTCTCCTTGAAGAGGTCCTTCACATCCCTTGTAAGTTATATTCCAAGGTATTTTATTCTCTTTGTAGCAATTGTGAATGGGAGTTCACTCATAATTTGGCTCTCCGTTTGTTTATTATTGGTATAGGAATGCTTGTGATTTTTGCACATTGATTTTTGTATCCTGAGACTTTGCTGAAGTTGCTTATCAGCTTTAGGAGGTTTTGGGCTGAGACGATGGAATTTTCTAAATATACCATCATGTCATCTGCAAACAGAGACAATTTGACTTCCTCTCTACCTATTTGAATACCTTTATTTCTTTCTCTTGCCTGATTGCCCTGGCCAGAGCTTCAGATACTACATTGAATAGGAGTGGTGAGAGAGGGCATCCTTGTCTTGTGCCGGATTTCAAAGAGAATGCTTCCCGTTTTTGTCCATTCAGTATGATATTGGCTGTGGGTTTGTCATAAATAACTCTTATTATTTTGAGATACATTCCATCGATACCTAGTTTATTGAGAGTTTTTAGCATGAAGGGGTGTTGAATTTTGTCGAAGACCTTTTCTGCATCTATTGAGATAATCATGTGGTTTTTGTCATTGGTTTTGTTTATGGGATGGATTACGTTTATTGATTTGTGTATGTTGAACCAGCCCTGCATCCCAGGGATAAAGCTGACTTGATCATGATGGATAAGCTTTTTGATGTGCTGCTGGATTCGGTTTGCCAGTATTTTATTAAGGATTTTCGCATTGATGTTTATCAGGGATATTGGCCAGAAATTTTTTTTTGTTGTTGTTGGTGTATCTCTGCCAGGCTTTGGTATCAGGATGATGCTGGCCTCATAAGATGAGTTAGGGAGGATTCCCTCTTTTTCTGTTGTTTGGAATAGTTTCAGAAGGAATGTTATCAGCCCTTCTTTGTACCTCTGGTAGGATTCGGCTGTGAATCCATCTGGTCCTGGACTTTTTTTGATTGGTAGGCTATTAATTACTGCCTCAATTTCAGAACTTGTTATTGGTCTATTCAATGATTCGACTTCTTCCTGGTTTAGATGTGGGAGCGTGTATATGTCCAGGAATTTATCCATTTCTTCTAGATTTTCTAGTTTATTGGTGTAGAGGTGTTCATAGTATTCTCTGATGGTAGTTTGTATTTCTGTGGGATCAGTGGTAATATCTCCTTTATCATTTTTTATTGCATCTATTTGTTTCTTTTCTCTTTTCTTCTTTATTAGTTTTGCTAGCGATCTATTTTGTTGATCATTTAAAAAGAAAACAGCTCCTAGATTCATTGATTTTTTTTTTTGAAGGGTTTTTTGTGTCTTTATCTCCTTCAGTTCTGCTCTGAAATTAGTTATTTCCTGTCTTCTGCTAGGTTTTGAATTTGTTTGTTCTTCTCTAGTTCTTTTAATTGTGATGTTAGGGTGTCAATTTTAGATCTTTCCTACTTTCTCTTGTGGGCATTTAGTGCAGTAAATTTTCCTCTAGACACAGCTTTAAATGTGTCCCAGAGATTCTGGTACATTGTGTCTTTGTTCTCATTGATTTCAAAGAAGTTCTTTATTTCTGCCTTCATTTCGTTATGTACCCAGTAGTCATTCAGGAGCAGGTTATTCAGTTTCCATGTAGTTGTGTGGTTTTAAGTGAGTCTCTTAATCCTGAGTTCCTATTTATTGCACTGTGGTCTGAGAGACTGTTTGTTATGATTTCCATTCTTTTGCATTTGCTGAGGAGTGTTTTACTTCCAATTATCTGGTTGATTTTAGAGTAAGTGTGATGTGGTGCTGAGAAGAATGTATATTCTGTTGATTTGGGGTGGAGAGTTCTATAGGTGTCTATTAGGTCCCCTTGGAGCTGAGTTCAAGTCCTGAATATCCTTGTAATTTTCTGTCTTGTTGATCTAATATTGACAATAGGGTGTTAAAGTCTCCCATTATTATTGTGTGGGAGTCTGCGTCTCTTTGTAGGTCTCTAAGAACTTGCTTTATGAATCTGGATACTCCTGTATTGGGTGCATATATATTTAGGAGAGTCAGCTCTTCTTGTTGCATTGATCCCTTTACAATTATGTAATGGCCCTCTTTGTCTCTTTTGATCTTTGTTGGTTTAAAGTCTGTTTTATCAGAGACCAGGATTGCAACCCCTGCTTTTTTTTTTTTTCGCTTTCCATTTGCATGGTAAATATTCCTCCATCCCTTTATTTTGAGCTTATGTGTGTCTCTGCATGTGAGATGGATCTTCTGAATATAGCACACTGATAGGTCTTGACTCTTTATTCAATTTGTAAGTCTGTGTCTTTTTAATTGGGGCATTTAGCTTGTTTACATTTAAGGTTAATATTGTTATGTGTGAATTTGATCCTGTCATTATGATGCTAGCTGGTTATTTTGCCCGTTAGTTGGTGCAGTTTATTAATAGGGTCGATGGTCTTTACAATTTGGTATGTTTTTGCAGTGGCTGGTACCAGTTTTTCCTTTCCATGTTTAGTTCTTCCTTCAGGAGCTCTTGTAAGGCAGGCCTGGTTGTGAGAAGATCTCTCAGCATTTATTTGTCTGTAAAGGATTTTATTTCTCCTTTGCTTGTGAAGCTTAGTTTGGCTGGATATGAAATTCTGGGTTGAAAATTCTTTTCTTTAAGAATGTTGAATATTTGCCCTCACTCTCTTCTGGCTTGTGGGGTTTCTTCTGAGAGATCCGCTGTTAGTCTGATGAGCTTCCCTTCATGGGTAACCCAATGTTTCTCTCTGGCTGCTCTTAACATTTTTTCCATCTTTTTTTTTTTTTTTCTTTGAGACGGAGTCTTGCTCTGTCGCCCAGGCTGGAGTGCAGTGGCGCGATCTCGGCTCACTGTAAGCTTCGCCTCCTGGGTTCACGCCATTCTCCTGCCTTAGCCTCCAGAGTAGCTGGGACTACAGGCACCTGCCACCATGCCCGGCTAATTTTTTGTATTTTTAGTAGAGATGGGGTTTCACCGTGTTAGCCAGGATGGTCTTGATCTCCTAACCTTGTG